AACATACAGGTGAGAACTGGCATTTCTCAAGTATCATGACAAGATTCTTCCTAGAGATGGAGAAGTAGTCTGTGCCATGGACTCTACTGTGGCTCACCTGTTTTTTTAGCCACACCAGTTCAACTGAGGAATCACAGAATGGTTTGGGTTAGAAGAGACATCATTACATTAAGGATCATCTAGCTCCAACCCCCTGCCACGGGCAGGATGCAAGGTAACTTGCTAGACCAAGTTACATGTTATAGTAACTAGACTGATAAGGAAAATGCCCAAACCACCTTAGGTCTTAAACAAGTTTGGGGCTTTTACTTTTTTTTTATTTTATTATTTTTAAAAAGGGATCTCTACTATTTTGCTCTTTTGAAGACAAGAAACAAAATGGTAGAGGCAAAAAACTGCCCAAGTAGGGAAAAAGAAAACATAAACAGCATACTTACATAAACAGCATACCTACAGCATGAACAACCTGGCAGTATAAAAGACTGAAGTGTCCATCAGGGTAGCACATACTACGAGGACAGAGCTCAACTATTTGCATGTTCAGTCATGTATTTGAGGACACAAGATGAAAGTAATAGCACACAGAACATACTGTAACATGGTCAAGAGAAACATACTGGCTCTTCAGCAGCCCTACAGAATCCACAGGCTTTAGTCCTGAATTCTAATTAAAACAGTTGGGATTAAAAGAAGTAATTTGTAAAATAAATTCTGTGTTTCAAATGAACGCTTAAGCTGTTAAAGCCTTCCACAATTTAAGTATTACAACCATGTGTCTGTGATGCTCTTGAAATCATAGCAGTAAGCCCAAGTTTGTGGATTAACACCTTACATGTGAAGCTGAAGAAGTTAAAAGTAGTTTATTCTGCATTAAGAAATTCTAGAGAGTTGGTTGTTGCTTTATTTATTTCTTACTAGTCAGTTTCATTACTATTTCAATTGCAGCTGAGAAAATAAAAACTTTTATTTACAGCAGCTAGGAGGACAAAGTAAAAAACAAGAACACATAAGAAACAGAACATCTCAAAACCATCCTTTACACAGGGTAGCACTTTCAGGTATAGTTAATGTAATGAATATTATGCAGATCTAATCATCATGAGACTTTTTGCTCAAGGAGAAAATTGAACTTAGGACCTCTTAAGATGGATACTCTCTGTATTAGGAAAAGCAATTACAAACTTTACTGCCAGCAGCAAACATTCCACAGGTTCAAAGACTTGATATAAGCTTGTAAGCAGTTTTTATAATACAATTAAACCTTTCTGTGCTTAACAAGAGAAGCCCTAATGCACTCCTGACATCAGATGTTTAAGTAGCAACTTGCTCGGTTTTTTGTACTATTTCACTATTTATTCAAGACTAATGTTGAACAAAATAAGAACACTTCCAAGAAAACTGCATATTTGTATTTATCTGAACCTGTTGAAAGGAACTGCTAAACCATGTTTTCAAACAAAAAAAAAGGAAACATTAGTTTCCAAACCCTAACAACATCCTTAAGCTTCCCATTTTATGTCAGCTTTCATTTGTCTCACCTGCAGAGATGTCCCTTCACCTTACCCTTCAACATCTAACATGTCAACTGACTAAATTTTCCCAATGTGTCCCTGCACCTATCGAGCTTTTGCCTGAACACTCCCTGTGAGCTATCACCTGATGGAAGGGGCACTTAAACAGGCACAAAGTCCTATTTAACAACTGTACAGCTCCTTGAGCAGTTTAAGAGAATGCTTCTATGAAAACTGAACGTGATCCTTCATAAACTGAGGCCACAATTCAGCCAGGAAGCATGCAAGTAGACCTTCCCAGTATCTAACTTCTACTTTAAGATCCCTCTTCCTGCAAACTGAAAAGATTCACCCTTATTTTTAATCAATTGGTGGTTAGGGAAAAGGCAATTTCCCATTTACAGACAATACCAGACCACACTACCTAGAATCCAGCGATTTGCTGGAATTCCCAAAAGCAACCTTGGAGGTTGCCATGAACACTGTAGTAGGAGCTCATTAAGCTGTTGGTATGAAATTTCAATTCAACTTCACTCAGCGCCTATGCCTCCACACTGACATCTAAGGTGAAAATGTCTGATTGCAACTTTTTATTCCATTCTATCAGCTCAGCAACAACTGAGCCAAACAGTGTCATTCCACTCATGGGGGTTTTGTCATTTAGCACCTGCCAGGTTTCCCATTATAACTCCTTGGACTTGTTGCTACTGTCCTTCTGATTTTTAGAAGCTGTCTCATTAGTAGTCAAATCAAGAAGTACTACGCTTCAGAGACTAGAGAAGTCTTAATGTATTCAGCATGGGAAAGGCAAAAAACTTAAGACAAACTGTCTTAAGTTTATAGAGATAATGAACTGAAGGGCTTGTAGGGAACACCATCTTTTGCAGTGTTTCCACAATAGTTTCCATTACAGCAAAACCATAAACTTGGATTTGTGTTTTTTCATTTTAAGTGCCTTCCAGACTGCCCGTGGTCAGATGACCACAATCTAACTGCTGAAAGCCACATAAGCTATTCTCTTCTCAACTAAGTCTGAACTAAAGAAAATTTTAATCCCAAACAAAAATACCTCAGTAATTTTTTATTTTTTTTAACTTAAAGCTTCTAAAAAGCCAAAATTAAACATCAGATTGCTTTCAGACAAGTAAAACTCCCTTTCCCTCAAAACACATTTCCTCCCCACGAGCTGCTGGGAACGACTTTGATGTTAGATCCTCTGCTCCATTAATCAGGCCTTCCTCTTGTTTGCATTCCCAAAAACTGCGATTTCAGCTGTGCCTACCCTTCAAACTGTATTATTTCATCCTGGAGTCATGGGGAGAAAGACTACAACAGTCTTTTGCAAGCAACCTGAATATCATGAAAAGGAATTGCTATAGCAAGTATGTGACAAAATGTACACTATCCTGAACTTACTGAACTAAGTACTATTATTTTTTTTATCATTTACCTACCCCTGCTTAGTATTTAATCCCAAACCACCCAGACGGGGAAAGCCTTCACTTACTATGAAAGCCATCAGGGAAGCTTCCAAATGTAAAAACTGCCTTCCTAACCACTGGTACCTACAGCATGTGTCATTCTGTCAGAGAACAGTGAAGCATTCTTCTGCTGCTTGTAGTAGTTAAATGTCCATTTGCCTTTTTTTATCTCTCTACAGGTCTTCTCATGAAGGTGTGTGTTGCCATCACACACAACTCACCTCAATGCTTTAACTATCAACCCATACACCTGCAGTCATTAAAAGGCCTTCATCCCTTTACCACATGCTCAAGAGAGTAAAAGAGTTTTTCAGGTACCTACAGGACTGCTAGACAGCACAGCTCAGCACATGACCATAGCTGCCTATCTTAACTTTTAAACCCTCAAAACTTATATCTACACAAAGATATCCACTTTCCTAAAAATTAACACTAAAGATACAAAATTCCAAGGATAAATACTTGTTAATTGCACACTGTGCGCACTTTACCTCAAAGAAGTTAGATAAAATGCTTCCTGTATCAACTCCTGCAGAAATAAAATGCAGAGCAGTCCTTAACCATCCAAAAACCTATCACCATCTCAGCCCAGCCATGCCTTAAACCTATCAGACTCTTCCTTCCCCTTCTTCCTACTCATTTTAATTTCTAACACAAAAGTAGATATATCAGTTAAAAGCCAAACTACTTATAAGTAAAGTTCAGAAAAACAGCTTACAAACCTGAGGAGGAGTTTTTTGAGGAAAAAAAAAAGCCAACGACAAACAACCCAAAATAAAGAAAAAAACCCAAGTGCACATTCAACTTTGAAGGTTACAGAATTAAAGCTCCTATGCAAAGCAGCTCTGTGCGACTATACATCAGCTTCTAGTTTTGCTTTGCCTTTTCCAGCAATACCTACCTGAAAAACCTACTGTTAAACGAAAACAAGGTAATAATGCTTCCTTGTACGTGGTTCAACACTGCATGGGAATGGTGGGTGCTATCAGGTTTGAAGCGTGAGCAGGACGAGAGTAAAGCACCCAGAGCTCTTCAGCAGCCTTCACTTCAGCTGCACATCCAGCTTCTTTGCCTCAGGATGACCTATTCCCAAACCCAGGAGCACAAACGTGTCTACCAACGTGCCCAGAGCTCCAGCCTCTCTCCAACACCGAGCTCCGGGCATACCAGTACCATTTCCACCATTCCACTCTCCTACTCCGATACAAATCGTGGCAACCGCACACGGAGACACCACACAAGGAGTCGAGGGGCATTTGCAACGCTTCGGGCGCCTTTCCCTACAGCAGCGCCCCACATACGCAAAACCACAGAGCAAGCTGGAAACCGGGTGAGGCTCCAGAAGGTCCCCCGGTCCCCCCATCCCGGCCACACCGGCGGGTGGGAGAAAGAAGGGAAGGAAAGAAGGCGGTCAGAGCGCAGGTCCCCCCATCCCCCCCCCGCGCAGGTCCCTGGTCCCGCCCCGCCACGAGGCCGCTCCGGTGCTGCCCCCTTCCTGCCTCCGACGCAGGCCCCCGCGGAGACCCGGGAGGCTGGAGCATACAGCAATGATAGACTGGGAGCGATAGGAAAACCCCCGGGCCTACCCCGCCACCGGGACACCCATCCCGGTCATTGCCCCCTTCACCGGCCCCACAGAACCCCTCACCCACTTTCCCCCCCTCCGGGGCCCCGTCTCGCCCGTCCCCGTGGTACCTCAGAGACCTCCTCTTCTTCCTCTTCCTCGTCGTCTTCCTCGTCTTCCTCCTCCTCACTACCGTTGTTGCTGCTCTCGCTGCCGCCGCCGCCGCTCTCGCTGCTGCTGGCCGCCAGGCCCGCTCGGCCGCTCCGCTTCGCCTTCGGCGGCACCTTCTTCTTCAGCAGCAGGTCGCACACCCGCACCAGCCCCATCGGCGCAGCCGCAGCCGCCGCCGCCGCCCCGGCCGAGCACGACGGCGAGGTACCGGCGCCGCCGTTCAACCCCTCCGGGGGACCGGGCCCGGCCGTAGCGCTCCCGGCCTCACCACCGTCACCACCTCCTTCGGTCGCCGCCACCACAACCGCCGCCGAGCCGGCCGCCTTCTCCATAGCCGCCGATCCGCTTCGCTCAGCGCCCGGTAAGGAAGAGAGAGGAGAAGAAGGAGGAGGCTGCCGGAGCCGCTGCCGCTGTCTCGGTCACCTCTAGGGCCGGCGCCGCGCCACCTCTCGCGATACTTGTCGTTGCCGTTGTTGCCGCCGTTGCCGCCGCTGCCGCCTTCAGCAGCGGCGGCGGGCACGGCACCGCTCCCGCCGCAAAAGCGGCCGCCGCCGCCACGCCCGGTCTGATCTAGGGCCCCACCGTCCCTCGCCGCACCCGCTCCACCGCGGCGACCTCTTCTGTGCGTGCCTCAATCACCACGCCGGAAGCGCCCTTAACGTCATCACCCGCCGCTGCGCGCCCACTTCCCTCCTCGGCTGACCTGGCTCCGCCCCGCGGCTGAGGTAGCCGCGGTTCTCAGTGGCGTGATTGTTCCTGTGTCGCACTCGTCCTAGTTAGAACGTGGTTTGATGAGACCAGGGTTAGCCTTGAGTCTCTTCGTCAGGCTAAAAATACCGGGAGAACGGTAAGGCTGGTCCTTGTCAGGTTGTGGGGCAGCTCTATCTGCCCTGTCTACAAGTACGCTTGGCTCTGAAGAGTGCTAGTCACAAGTGATGTTCTCCTCAGAGAGTGCACAGCACACTCGGAGCCACCTCCTCAGCCCTCTTTTAAAAGGAAGTTGGTGGAGTTTTATTTAAAAAGTAGGAAATGCCAGGATGCCCATGTCACTTTGGCCATGAGCTCTGTGTCGGTTGATCTCTTTTTCTACCTCAGGCCAGTCTGGCCAGGACTTTAATCTGTAGAAAACTGCTGCCTCCACTGATGTGGGTCAGGTCCTACAGTAGCAGAAGTTGTGGCAGTTAACTACAGGCAATCGATGCGTGCTCACTGAAGGATCTGTCTTAGGGTTTTTTTCCCCTTAAACGGGATGGAAATCAAGGAAAAGGTTTTTAACCACATAAACACATGATTGTAAGGAGTGTTAATGGCTCCGATGCACTGAAATGCTACAGATGTATTAGTGTTTCAATCCAATAGTGTCCATTGCAGTTATGTTTTGCAGAAATGCAAAGAGCTGCTTGTTACTTGATTACTTTATTCCTAAGTGGTGCCCTTATGCTTATTTTGGTAGCATTGGAAAGCATGAGCCATGTCTGCAGCTCCTCTGAAACGAAACGCTGCTTTTAAAAACAGATCTCAAAGCACCAACGCTCATCAGGAAAGCAAGTCTGCATGGTTTTCCCCCCAAATCTTTATGTTCCTTACAGTCCACCTAAACCTACATCTTTTTACAGATGTCTAAGTCCTTAATAAAAGGACTGTGTTAGTCGTGACAGCACTGCTAATAAATTACTGTATTTCTAAGTCATCCAGCTACAACTGTAGTTCTTAACCTCTCTTCAGGTTGCGAGGTCTAAGATGAACAATACCTTTATAAACCCCTCCGTAGATGACACTTTGATGTGATCCAAGGAATAAACTGGATGTTCCAGCTACCTACCACTTCCTGGTATGACTGTAAAAAATGATGAAAGATTGGCAAGAATAATCCCTTTGTCCTCCTGTGCTGAATGCATTGGTTTTTACCGATTTACATAGAGATACGAGCACAAATGATTTATTTGTGCAATCCCAGGAAGCAGAAAACGGAGTTGTCAGTGAATACAGGTAACCTCAGCCTTACCACCTGAGATTCATGGTGCACATGTGAAAAGATGTCACTTTTTTCAAGCAATAAGTGTGGAAAAAGTGGCCTGGTCTTCATCATTTGACCCAAGAGGTGCCTGACTTCTGTGAACATGTCCTGGGTTCAGCTCAAACCACAACAGAACAAAACACATCTTAGATTCCTGTGGCTGTACAAGAAGCCCAGCAGAGGAATAGCCCATCCAAATGCCCCTAATTCCCCTGCTGGGGTTCAGGAAGGGTGGTGGCAGGGCTGGATTTTACCCTTTGAGCTATTAGCAAGGAGTTGCCCTCCCTTTCTGGTGCAGCACCAGGCTGGAAAATGTCAGCAAAGGGCTGATCCAGCACTGAGCTGATTGAGGTCAAGCAGGGCTGCAGTGACGATCATTCCCATTTAATACTGTGTTTTAATACTCGGCTGCAACATTTGCTTGTTACTTCAGGTATCCATATAAGTTGCTAGGCTTGGGAACGATATTTTGAGCCACCCAGTCCAGTTTGAATGAAAGCAACTGTGTTACGTTATCACTGCATTGTCTTTTCAGCCTTGAATCCGGTGGAGTAGTTACAAAAAGCTTCTGTTGGCATGGGCAGCATGGCCTATCTGAGGGTGTTTGTTCAGTTTATTTTATGATGGTGACCTCTGTTCTGATCAAAGAGTTGCTCCTCCTAATCTTGCAGCATAAAGCAAGTAGTTTCCCTCTGGTTTTATGACATAGAGTTTATACCTGCTCTCCCTACCACCCTGGCCACTTGGATCCTTTTGTGAGTGCAACAGCAATCAAAGCACTTGCGGCCTTTAGAGAAGCTTAGTATTAGATTCAAGCTTTGGCTTTGTCATGGGAAAAGCTACCAGCAGAAGTCAGCTTTCAATCCTGGGATGGTCTGAACAACTTGGGAAGGTATGAAACTTCTCCAGGTTGCATAAGAGCACTTTGTATTTACAGATATATAGAATCATAGAACAGTTAGGGTTGGAAAGGACCTTAAGATCATCCAGTTCCAACCTCCCTGCCATAGGCAGGGACAATACACACTAAACTGTGTCACCCAAGACTCCATCCAACCTGGCCGTGAAACGCTGCCAGGAATGGAGCATTCGCAGCACCCTTGGGCAACCTGTTCCAGTACCTCACCGCCCTCTCAGTAAAGAAATTCTTCCTTATATCTAACCTGAATGTCCCCTGTTTCAGTTTAAACCCATTACCCATTGTTGTGTTGCTGCAGTCCCTAATGAAAAGTCCCTCTCCAGCATCCTTGTAGGCCCTCTTCAGATACTGGAAGGCTGCTATGAGGTCTCCATGCAGCTTCTCTTCTCCAGGCTGAACAGCCTTGGCTTTCTCAGTCTATCTTCATATGGGAGGTGCTCCAGCCCCTGTTCATCCCTGCGGCCTCCTCTGGTCTTGCTCTAACAGCTCCATGTCCTTCTTATGTTGAGGACACCAGAACTGTACACAATGATCCAAGCGGGGTCTCAAGACAGCAGAGTGGAGAGACAGGATCACCTCCCTCGACCTGCTGGTCACTCTTCTTTTGATGCAGCCCAGGATACAGTTGGCTTTCTGGGCTGCAAGTGCACACTGCTGGCTAATGTTAATTTTCTCATCATATATTTTGCAGGCACCCTGATAATCATCAAGACATGCTAATAATGGAAGAGTAAATAATCAAGATTTCTTTTAATGTATCCTGATTTCCCTATGGGTGTGTGACCCAAAGCTGGCTGTGCTGCTCTTAGGGAATGGACTGCATAGCAATAGGAAGGAAGCATAGGCCCTCATCAGGGGAGCAGTAACTAACAAGTACATTTCCTTTTGTGACTGTGAGGTTGATTAACTTGGAACACTTGGGTTTGTTGCTAACATAAAACTGCACGAAATCTTGAGAAAGATGGTATTCCTTCCTTATCCCTTTGATCTGTGACTTCTGCTTCAGTATTTATCCAGTTCCTTTTGGGTTATTGATCACCAAACACATAGGATTGAATAGCAGGAAAAACAGGTTTGATTCAGTGAATGCTCTCAGGAATTGTCTGATAGACAATAGATTCTGTAAAAAGTCCTATAGGACAATTGATGTGTTTAAACCTACACTGTGCTGTAATTATCTGCACAGATCTGCTTTCAGTTTCATAACTGCTGGAAGCAGTATCATCATCGAAGTCAGAAAGCAAGGATCTTGATTTTGTTTGCTATTGTAACTGGTACAGGAGCTGAAAAAAGTTCTTCATGCTTTGAGCTTCATTAACCCTTCCAACACACATGTATGCAAGGTGCGTATTCTCACACCCCATTAATTGGACTTTCACCTCGACCTCCTCTTCTGCCCTGATTTTACCCTCTCCCTCCCAGGCCATACAGCCCACCTGTGCTCTGTGCCGTGCCATCAAGCAGTCCTAAACACACTCTGGTCACACTCAGCTCTTCTTTCTTAGGTATTTTTTCAGTCTAGGAGCTGCTGAGCAATGTTCAGAACTTCTGAAATGATCAGTTGAGAGTTGGAGAGAAAAAATGGTGAAAGAAAGTGTCTTGCTCTTGATCTCAGAGACTACATAATCCAGCTTTTATCTTCAGTAACTTGTTGTAAATGCACTGAAATGGTACTTCTGAATGGCTGAAATACTTTACTTTTTGTGAAGGGATGGATGCATGTTATTTTCTCTCTGTATTTGCTTTCTGTGAGAACTTCCTGAATTTTTACCTCCAATTAAGGACTGCTACAGCTACCTTTTCCCGTAGTCTCCCTCCCACCAGTTTTGGAATCAATTTTTCTCTTTCTGTGGATACAACTGCTTTAGTTGTGTTCCTTTAAGTGCTAAAGAGTGACTGCCTCTTAGAAAGGGTGAATGCTGTCAGCCTAAAACTACCAAACTGCCTCTCCCCATGTTTATGTCCTTCTGAGTATATCTATGTTTAATACCTGTCACAGTAGGAGGAGCACAGAATATATACACCTCTCCAGATGAGATGATTATTCAAATGAGCTATGAAATTAATCCAAAACCCAAATAATGCCATTCTCACTGGTTATAGAATGAGTGAATTTGTTGTTTATCTTTGACATACACGGTTTTGCAGTTGTTGCAGCTTCGGTATGTGCTGCAATGTGTTTATTCAGATCATTCTGGGAATTGTGAGCCCCAAGTGATTGTATCCCTTCAACACACATACCAAAAGGCCTGGCTCATGGGACCGTGTTGATGCATAGCATTTCCTATAAAAAAAGCAAAATCAGGAGGACCTATCTGAAACGGGAGACAAGATAAACTAAAAATAATTATTTCAAACAAAAATGATAAATTTGAAGTGTTTAGCAATTATGCAGTTATTGCTGACCAAGTTGAAGGGAGAAAGAAATAAAAGAACACAGATGTGTCTACATTCAGGAAAGTGCTGCTTTCTGTGATAGAAATTTTTAAGGTTTGTCTAAAACACTCAGTTTTAATAACTGTAAATTACACATGAAAAAAATAATGATGAAAAAATGGGTTTATACAACCATGGCATTTACTTTAAATGACATTTTTTTTACTATCTGTACTTCTCCTTTACAGCAAGTTTCCTGTGAGTGAAGAAAGTAGATAAATTCCAGACAGACTGAGAATTAAACCAGGGTGGTGCTAGCCTGAGAGGACTGCTTAAAGTTACAGCAGCCCTGTTCATCGAGGGGCAGCACTTCTATGTGGACAGAAGGTAAAAGATTTACATTAATGCTACCACTCAGATACACACCCTATGATGGCCCCTTTGGGATTGACTACTGTTTACATCTGGCAGGTAAGCCAAGTTATTTTGCCATTTCCTATGCTTTTTCATCATCAGTGTCAGTTTGAAATACATATATATCCTAGAATCATAGAAGCATATCCTGCTCGAGTATCTTGGAAGTATTCATATTTCTTCTCCAGATACTGCTCTTAACATAGAATCACAGTATCACAGACTGGTTTGGGTTGGAAAGGACCTTAAGATCATCTAGTTCCATCCCCCTGCCATGGGCAGGGACACCTCACACTAGACCATGTTGCCCAAGGCTCTGTCCAACCTGGCCTTGAATACTGCCAGGGGTGGAACATTTACCACTGTTCTGATAGTTGTCCTTGAACCTTAATACAACATCATGACTGCTTCCTCATGGGGAGGATTGGGGAAGTAAAAACAAGTCCAGAAAGCAAAACCTGCTGAAGGCTGAGTCATTGGAGAAATATGCAAGTGCTCTGTTAAAAAAGAAAACATGCAGTTGTTCTACAGGCAGTAGTGGCATTCTATCCCATGAAGTCTTTGCTAACAAAGGGCAGCCCTATGCCTGTTCCTTCATAATGTCATCACTAGAAGCAGTCAACTAGAACTCAAGCGTGGTCTAGTCACGTCCGTCCACCCACAAGACATCAAAGTCCAGAACAGTGTTTGATGCCAGGGCATGTGCTGGGAGGCCCATAGGGGTGCTAGAGACTGTCAGTAGCATGGAATACTTCTGGTTTTATTCGGAGAGCAATGATTATCTGCCTGTATACTTGGAGTTGGTTCAGGTAGCTTAGTGGGACTTGCTGCTGCTTCTTGTGTGTTTTTGAGGGAAAGCACTCCCAAGTTTGGGGTGCAGTTATTGTAGCTCGAGTGTTTGAGCACAGGTGTGAATGTTAATGTAAACCAGCAAGCTGGTAGCCACACTGTCTGAGTTTTGTCAAAGAATCTGGCAAGTGTTAAAACTACAATAACGGCACAGGAGTAAATAGTGACATCTAATACAGCACTACTATTTTGGGGCTAGATATTCAGAGCTCTACTTAGAGACATGAGACTTGTAAACAGTTTTCCTGTAAGAATCCTGCCAGCAAAAGGCTACACTTCAGCAATATGTGTACAGTGTAGGTGCTATAGGATGACTGATTGACAGAAGCCTGGGCTGAAACACTGGTGGCCCAAACAGACACTCATTAGGCATCCTAAGCCTGGTGAGGCAAAGGGAAGCAATACCTTTTGTATTAAAATTATGGGTTTTATGTAATTTTTGTACTTTATTTATTTTTACTATGAGCTGTACAATCTAGTCACTATTTTATACCCATCTCTATAGTCTTAGTAGTAACCACCATATAACGGTAGTTTGAACTTGAAATTCTAAAGGGGTGATTAGCTAACAAATGGTCTCAAGTGTTAAGCTAGAAAGACATTTATTCTGCAATATATTTATTACTTTGGGAGTCTGTACTTTAAGAAATGTCTTAAGCACTTGTAATCTTAAAACTTATTAATATTCTGAGATTTACATTGTTACATGCAGAAATGATGTCTGAAAGTAGGTTTCAGGTTCCTAATTTGCTTCACATACTTTCAAAATGTTTATCCTGTGTGAGTATAAAAATGCCCTAGCAAATAGAGGCAAATAGCATCTGGATAAGATTCTAAATTTCTTTCTGATTCTCTCAAGTGCTGTAGAAGATAAAATAAAAAGAAGGCAAATGGTAAGATAAAGAGAAGGTTTTCTATATTTTATATATAATGGCTCTGTAATCCAAAACTGTGAATAAGACCACTGAAGACAAAACCACCTGTATTTGAATATCAAAGTTTACTTGTCAAAGTAATGTTTTGTTGTTCGAGGTTTTTTATTACTTACATTTAAAGTAGCATCAACTGTGGACTACCCAAAAATCAGCCAGGAGGTTAAGCATTTCTTACATTTCATGTTTTGCCTGAGTCCTGCCAGTCTATAATGATAATTTCTACAGTAGCCACTTTTTAAGTAAACAACTGATTAGTTCTGAAATCAGACCTTGAGACTGCTTCTCTTTGTTCAGCTCAGGAGATCTTAATGCAGGCAGCCGTCTGCTGACATGCAGAACAACAAGGTTCAAGCTGTTGCTCTTCTATCTTCACAGACAATGTGCCTGGAAAAATATTTATACTATCAGGCTAGTTTATGTCTGGACAAGACAGGGTGAGAAACTTTTTTTTGTGAGATCTTGGTTTCACTGAAGGCAATGTAAGAAATTTCTTTGCTACCTCAAAAATGAGTGTAAAATGGACAAAAAACTTTTTTCACAGAGCTCAAATGCTAACTAGAAAAATTGTCTAAAAGCCTAAAATGATCGGATTCCCCCAGCATCCTGTGGAGCCTGTTTTCCAAAACAGAACCTTCTCAGCCGTGTTTACTGTGTTCTATTCTACTCATTGACTCTTGTAATTTGCCATTTTGTCTTCACTTCAAAGCATTTCCTTTCAACAGCTATATATTGCTGATTCCTGATCTCTTATTTTAGGGAGAGGTTGGGATACAATTCTTTTTAAAAAGATCAATCTTTCTGTTATTTCACATTGACACAGTAGATGGAGCTGGCAATCCATCTTCAGCTATAACCAAAACCAGTCAGAATTGAGGGCCTGGACCGACAAATTCTTACTCATCCCAACATTCTGGACATGACATTTTACTAAAGCATTTGATTCTTAAACATCTTTTTTCTTAAAAAAAAAGAATAATTTTTTTTTTTTTCCCCTCCATTTTTTTTTGTCATTTATTTCCGGCAGACTAGATAGGGGTTTTTTTCATGTGTGACATATATAATGCCATTGACTTTAATGAAAGCTAATTACAAAGTTAAGTGCTGTCTTGAACAGCTTTATGTCCCTGAGTCACTGTTCTTTTCAATAGCATTTCATGTACATGGAAGGAAGGAATGCTGATGGGGTGAATTTTAATTTTGTCGTCTGTCATTCTCTGATTTTCTCATTTATGAACATGAATTCAGTTATGTTTCTAGATAAGGAAGTACAACAAGATAGGACTTGAGAACAGGGCTGCAGTAGTCAAAATACACATTTACCTGTAAATGTCTTGCGAGTGAATCTGGATAATTTATTCTCATTCGTGAATTTTGATGAACAAGCTCAACCTAAAACATCTGATTCATTTTCTGAAGTATGTGATTTTCAGTTATTCACAAGATATTCCTTTTCAAGGTTTAACATTGTATTCCAGAAGTCAGTATGAACACAAATTCACAAATTTAGGCATCACTAAAGTCTGTCCATGTTTAGCAAAGCTCTTAAATGCCACTTCAGTGAAATTTGAAACCTTTGCTTCAGCCTACTTGCAGTCAGCAAAGCACTTTACATGTAACCTTTCTATACCCAAATGCTGCACACCTCTTTATTAGCTATTGACTATTACTGCTCAGAAGAGCTGTTCATAAGGTTTGGAATGCTATGCTTTGTCAGTGTTACCTAGCATCTTAAAGTACCTTTCGCATTCTATATTCCAAATAGCTTTCTTTAATTTAAAAAGACCCATGTAAGGACGATGAAAACATTTTTCAATAAAAGTTCTTCTGAAAGTCTTACACAAATAGTTTGCAATATGAGCAGCAAATAAATGGCACATCCTTATTCATCAACAAGTTAAGCTTTCTCTTTAATTAGCAATCAAATCCAAGCAAAAGCTGATCACTTTGTTATACACTTCACTATAGCAAAGTTCTATGACTCTCACTGGAATATTAGATTTGGGTTTTTAGTTTGTATGCTAGACTATTCTAAAGAAGGTACATTACTTACCTGCCTATGTGCACTGTCAGTCCCAAGCAGGTGTACCTGGGTTTTGTTAAACAGATTACATTAGAGACAGTTGCTTACCTAGTGACTATTCTACTTTTTTTACTCTGTCATGGAGTTATTTCCTACCATCTGTGGAAATATTGTCAAAGTGTAATCAGCAGCCTGCACCCAGGTACTTGCCTGGCCCAGGGTGACTTAGAATGCTGCAGATCAGAGCCTTCCAAGGAGCCGATTTAAATAAATGTGTCTTTTTAGGCTATGTTTTTCACCCATAATGTGAAACAGCTGTGTGGTGATACCTGATTCAGCCATGGTGTTAGGAAACTGAGTTAGTTGTTAGGGAGCAAGTATGCTATAACAAAATGGGTTATTTTGGTAGTGATATCTTTGTTATATGATGTCTCCTATAAAGCATTAGAGTTAGGGGCATTCGACGTGACACTTTGCTAGTAATAATAGTAATCATTAGGTGACAACTTTGCCAGTGAAATTGTCGAGACATATATGGTTTCAAAGAACTTTGAGTTGAAGAAAGCAGCTTGAGCCAAAACTGCATCTCCATAAAAAAAGTTTTCTGGTTGTGTTTTTTTTTTTGTGTGTGTGGTTTTTTTTTTTTTGGTTCGTTGGTTTTTTTGGGTTGTTTGTTTTTGTTTTTTTTTTTGGGGGGGGGGGCAGTGTTTGGGTGGTTGGTTGGTTTGGGTTGGGTTTTTTGGGGGTTATTTTTAAGAGGCATAAAATCTCACCTTCTGACTGGGAAGAAAGACCATTTAGGAGATCATCAGATTCATAGCTGAGTCCTTCACTTCTTCCCCTTCTAAGATAAGCTGTTTTGTAGTTCAAATGGAATTAACTGACCAACACATGATCATTCCCTCCAGTGTTTTAATGAAGTTCTGTTTCAGACCACTTAACTATGAAAGAAACTCTAATGCTTTAGAGCTAAGGGAAAAAATCAGATGCTTCTCTTTGCTGTGGTTTCTGCTCAGTATTTGACAAATATCTTGTGCTGCGTATATTCACATAATGCCAAACACAAAGAAGCTAGATGTTTTTTCTACCTATCAAACTCTAGGCTTAAATTATAGGTTTAAACTAACAATAGTGTGTGTGTCTTCAAACTAACATATTAGAATACAGCAAATTGTTCTAACTTGCTAACACTTACAGAAAAAGGAATGTTCAGCTGACAGGGGAAGGAGCATTAGGAGACTGATAACTAAGGAGATAGTAAATAATACCAAGGATGCTAACCTTCAAAATAGCAGAGTGGCGCCCAAAGTGGAGCGAGACTGGAACAGACCAGAAGCAAGGACATACCAACCGCTAACTCAGCACTAGGACCTTGCGAGCATGTGCAAGCACTGAGATCATTCCGTAAACACTGTGAGGAGCACTATTGACAACCACCAGAGACCCCCACTCAGCAAGAAAGTGCATGCATAATTAGAGTGCAAATATTATATTTAGTTCCTGGAAAAGCTATGAATATGCATGAGTATGCTAAATATATAGCCACTGTCAGCAAATGATGGTGCGCTCACCTTTGCGAAACGATTCATGTGTGCACCCAGCGCTGCAATAAAGAATGCCTCTTTCTAAAGCTCCAAATTGAGTCTTAGTTTCTCTGACCAACTTTTGCGCTAACAAAACTAGCAGGAGTAATTGATAAAATGGGCTTTTTATCTTTTTTAAAGGTCAGACCAGGTGATCCTGACAGTCTCTTGACTGTGTGGTATCTACATGTTTTCAGATGTTACTGAGGTTTTCTTATGTCTTAGCATCTTTCAGCAGTGCAACGAAGTATAGCAAAACACCTCACAAACTTTTTATGGTGGAATAGTTAGTCATTGGAAATCGTTTGTAGCAATGATATCTCTCATTAACTGAAAGAATAGCCTGTTCTTTGCCCACAGGAACATTAGGTTTTTCTCAGCATGGAGGACCGCAGTTTCTCTGTGCAGAGTTTTGTTGGCAGTAGGTGGCATACCTCTCCCACTTGAGTTCTTGGGAAAGGGTTGCTGTCTATTGATCAAGGCTGGTTCTTACCAAATGCTGATACCTGTTCACTTCAGGACACATAGCAGCTTTCTCTGCCAGCGCTCTCTTTTAGGAAAGGATTAAGCTTGAACATCAGTTTTAGAATAATATCAACATAATCTGAGCTGCACCTGCTTTCTACTGTCCATACTGGTACATTTGCATTTAGCTAGAGTCCTTCCAGCCTGTGGTTTCCCCACAGCTCATTGCAGCAGCTTTGTTATCTGTCACCGTTGTTCCATCTGCAGTGGAGGCCAAGTTCCATCTTGGCCTCATGTGCAGGAGGTAACTGAACCCATAGTAAGTTTTTGCTGTGTGTCATGGGCATTTTCAGGCAGCTGGACTAAAAAATTTGTGTCATTTGGTGTGAAATGACTTCTTTAGAGTACAGTACCGAGTGTCTAAATGGGAAGATCCAAGGTAGGATCTCTCTTGGCAGTTTTGTAAAATAACCCTCTTCCTTCCAAACCCAAGGCCAAATAAAAAGCCTTTTGCATGCAAAACAGCATCCCACTTGCAGTTGTATCAACTTGTGTAAAATAAACTGTTTTTACACCATTCCTGTTCACCAGTGTCCCTGCTGGAGCTTAACCATTGTACACACAATCATATTTATATTTGAAGATCCACTAGTATAAATGCTTGCTTGCACAGACCTCATGGCAGGATAAAGACTTGAATTTTGACCTCACATGAATGAATCTGTGATTTTCAATGTTACCTCACTTAAAAAAAAAAAAAAAAAGAAAAAAAGGAAAAGAAAAAAAAAGTTTTCTTATTGCTTGATTATTCAGCGCTTTCCCATCTTCATTTCTTGACTCTTCAGTTCTCTGGTCACAACTGGGGTAAATAAGCAGGGCACTTTTCAAAAGCACACACTTTTCTCTAACAGGCTTTCCAGTGAAGTCGGGTGAATTTTAGCACTGGCTTCAACATGACCAGAATTAGGCCAATGCGGAATATATTTCAAAATCCTACACTGAAAACCTGATAATCTTATTAAATTATCAAATATCTACTTAGGCAATATCAGTGCCAAATAGACAGGAGCCTTTGATTTGTCCCATTTAAATCTGTTCTTATCCAACTTGAAGTTCAGTTATATGCTGAAGGGAGGCAGTACTTGATTTTTCTGTCAGAAATGGAAGTAGATAGATTGCTTACTTGATAACCAGGAATCAAATAAAATAGTTTTTTTTCTTTGGGAAACCAAACAAACAAACAAACAAAAAACTACACAGAAATTCCTTGGGAGGCCTAAATTTCACCCTATCCACACAATAATTTTTAGTTCCAATGTTACACCATTCTGTACTGTGTGTTGTGACCAGCTTGACCATGAAGTTTCCTTTTTGTGGGTGGCAAGATAAAATAACTTAAGTCCATTTCAGGGGAGTTTTTATTTGTTGCTACATGATATAACAACTGTGTGGGTTTTTTTTAAAAGAACAGAAAATTCAGAGCAATGTATCATGCATAAATGCCATGAGGACTGATAAAAATGCATGCTATCAGTAAACCAGTGAAGCTTACCAGCCAAGGGCTTCCACATTTGTTGTTCTAAAACCATGACAGCTACAAAGCTTTTATAGGATCTGGTTCTGGAGGTCTTAAAAAAGTAATTCTTGAATTTCCATAGAGATTATATCTTAATTTAGAGGCAGACCTGGGTGACAAACTGGCATCTTTTTGTTCTCTTCATTTTACACTTGGTTCAAATGCCCATATTTTTAATTTAAGGTCTGTTTACATTTGATGGTGACATGAAATCAGGTGCCTGCCGAAACAGTTCAGTTTTGCAGGTACAATTCACGTCACATTGGTCTCTATTCATTCAGCTTAATGAGATGGTCAGTTTAAGACAAAATGGGGCCTGCAGTCATCTTTTG